ACAACCACCCCACCACCACCAAACAACAACAACAACAGCAAGGAAAAAGCCACCACCCCCAGACGCTGCAGACGCACACACAAAAGTCTACTAAAATTGTGATATATCAACGATTCAATTCAATAGAAGTTACATATACAGATTGTACAGTATAACAGTGCCGCTCCACAATCCAGGCAACCTGGAATAAACAAGCCATTTCTATTTTACTAATTTTGGTACATGAAAAGCTGGTGAACTATGATTCAGAGATTTAGAGATCTTGATTATATAGGGTATAAAGTCCTATAATAATAAGAGATTCCACAGGCACATGAAGAAACACGAAAAAGAAATATGGATCAAGATAAGGACAGTAGGCTTTCCGTTAAATAAGGATAATATAGCGCACGCATGATTACTGTCAGTTGTTTTAAGATCTGCACATGACACACTACGGCTTACATAGGTATACCCCACTACATACAACATCAAATTAATGTGAAAAACATATCACATAAACAATACATATTTAGAACTATATTAGAAAAATGAATGAAAAGGGTTTAAAAAAAGCAAACCAAATCACAGCCTCTCATCTATATATCAGGTTATCTTCATGTCGATCATGAGAAACAAATAACCTGCAAAACAAATCAAAAAACTAAACATATATACATCAAAATCTCAACACAACCAAGTATGTCACAAGGAGAAACTTCGTAGAATTGCATACGTGCAAACAAACCGTATGCCTCCTCCTTGATGCCTTCTTTAAAGAACTCCCATCGCCAGATAACTTCACCTGCGGCGATCTTGAAAAGTTTGCATGGGGCACGGGCACAGGCGGTGACCAGAGAGCGCTCTTCTCGTACTCGAAGTCGAATTCGGACATGTCTGGAAACTTAACAAGGAGGCCATCAGAGACTGGCTTAGACACAAGTTGAATCCTAACAAGAGAAGAGGGTTCATCGTCCATTTGTTTTGATGGTCGATGCTAGAAGTTTGTGTTGAAGGTTATGAGAGAGAGAGAGAGAGAGAGAGAGAGAGAGAGAGAATGTGGTGGGTTTTCACTTTCTCGGCTGGGTACAGGAAAATGAAGTGAGGATTGGTGTATGTCGGAACGTGAGCTCAATAATGTGAAACGTGGGTACCATGAGCCATGAGATGGTGTGGGCTATCTCGTGTTAATTTGAACGGATGCTTAATTTTGGGGTCCACTCTGATTTTGGGTAGGGTGGATATGTTTTAGTTTTCTTTTCTCCGTGTCTTTCCTCTCATAGACTAAATTTTCATATTAGTATTCTAACCTAGCATTGTTTTCTAATATAGTATTTATTTCTGCTCCAGTATTAATTATTGTGATATTTTAACTTGTACCTCAATGATAAATAGGCACATTTTGTTGTTGGGATTTTTTGATCTCCTAAAAACCTTTAAAACCACCAAATAGCAGCAAATGAAATCATACACAAGTTCTAATATGGAAAACCCTCAATAGGGAAAAACTGCAAGATAAAAAAATAATATACTATCATCACCAAATTACAATTTTTTGCACGGACAAAGACTACAAAACCCTCTCTTACAATGCTGTTGAACCTGGTCCTAATCACAAGAATTAATATTGCACCTCTTCCTCTATTCTACTACAAAACCCTAAAATAGAATGCCTTATTTAAAAACACCAAAAAATTTATCCTAAGCAGGCTAAAATACAAAGCTTATCTAAGCTCACATATCCTAGGATCCTTTTCAATGAAAATCTTCAACGGCTATATAGAATCTGACACTGATAATTTAAGAAGATCATCATCTTGATGAAGTTACCAATTTAATTTCTAAAATTATAGTATTGTATAAAGGGCTGTTTTGTTGACAAGGTTACAGAAACGTTTTGAGAAAATGCCTAATAGTGGAATTTTTGTAAATAAAAGATTTTGGTGGTTTTCTTTAAAATGTTTTTGGTTCACCCAAAATTTATAGAAATATTTTCCATAAAGTAGTGAAAAGGGGTCTAACTCATAGAAATCCCATCAAAATAAGTGTAGGCTGTCTAAAAATTCTTGCAGATAGCTGATCCCCATCAAGCACTGATAATAGAGGTTACAATTTTGTAAGATCGTGCGCTTATGATAATTGTAGGGTTACGCTCTCTTATTAAAGAGTAGAGTCTGTGGAAGCATACACTAAACACTAGAGAGCGTTGATTAGTGTTATTTAAAGAGTTTGCAAGATGTGTTATAAACTGCAAGAAAGAATGACAACAATCTCAGAAAATAAACATCACAAACACAAGCATGTATACTGATCTGGTTCCACCTCCCCGGTGTACATCCAGTCCCCAAGCAAATCCCGCTTGAGATTTTCACTATGATTTTGAAACCTTACAAAATCAAAAGCAAACCTAACCAATTTGCAAGACCATGCAAATTACAACCCTAATTGACAAGACCATGCCAATTGCACACCAATTTCTAGACCAAGAGATCAACCCTCTCAAAACCGAGAGAAACCTTCATTGTAGCAAGAATACAAATCCAATCCTATAAGCCTTGATGTGGATGTGAACGTGTAACAATGGCTTATGAATCTTTTTGACTCTCTGAATATTGCCTAAACAATCTATAAGAATGATTAGAACAAAGACAATATCCCTCTCTTTTTCTGAAACTTAGAACTGAAAACTGGAAACTTGAGAGTTAATTTGCATAATATATGAATCTTACAAGTGCAAATGATGGATGGCAATTTCTAAACATAGAACCTATTTATAGCCATTAAAAAGATAAGTTTTAACCCAAATAAACAGATAAAAACGGCTATAAACAGTCACAAATTCAAACTTAAAAATGTCAGAAAAACTGTCTCTGTAGTCGACTATAACTCTTAGTAGTCGACTACACTGAGTTCAAATAAACTCTGTGAAGTCAGGATTTTTCTTAGTAGACTACTCTGATCATTAGTCGACTACTCTGTAAAGACAGAAAGTCTGGAATTCAGATTCAAATCTTAGTAGTCGACTATACTGTCTAGTAGTCAACTATATTGTAAACAACAAAAAGTTTAGAATTCTAGAATGACTCTTATTAGTCGACTATACTGTGTAGTAGTCGACTACACTGTAATTTGACAGAAACTTGAAATATTAATTTTAACCTTAGTAGTCGACTACATATAGTCGTTAGTCGACTACACTGTATTTTTACAGAAACTTGAAAATCTGTATAAGTCTTAAGTAGTCGATTACACTGTATCTTAGTTGACTACACTATAATGTGATAGAAACTTAATATTTTGTCTAAGGCTTGAGTAGTCGACTACTAAGGCTATTAGTTGACTACTAAGGTATATATATGAGATATTTGATATGTTTTAAGACTAATTTAATATCTATAACCTCTAATGGTTAACTTAGTGGGATTTCTATAGTTAACCACACACTAAGCATATGTTAGTGTGTTCTAAACACTATGTGTGTATGTGTGCGAGTGATCAAGTCTTGTACAAATTTCTAAGCAAAGAAAATGTGAAAAATTATATTTTGACATTTACGCATAACTTCTTCTTTGCTTCATATTGCCTTGACCTCATCTTACGTCTTGAGTATCTCTTTGAATATCATTGTTGATTTAGCTCTGATACTGCAAAACAAATGTTAGCACATAATACACACAACATGTAATATTTGTTATCATCAAAACAGTCCAGATTTTATTAGCTAAAATATTTTACTCCCCCTGCATCAAAGCATTTAAAATTTTCTATATAACTCGCCCTTTGTCATTAGCAAAAAAAAAAACAAAACATAATTCTAGTTAAATTCATTTTTCTTTTCTCGGGTACCTTAATAAAAAACATTAAGCACTTTGATACCCTTTTTATATTAGATCCTTAGGATTAGCCCTTAGGAATCAAAATCCACTTCGAATTTGGTTTCCCCTTGTTAACATAAATATAATTAACAGAATTGCATATGTTTTTTTTTTAAAATTTGAAATATACACTTTTCTATCATGTAAGCAAATATCTTTAGGTACCTAAATGAACAAAGATTTCTTATGTAAAGATACTTTATGACATGATATATAATATGTCTTATTAACATATTCATTTTTCTTATGAACATATCCTAATCCAAACTTTTGATTAGAAGACTTTTAAAAATATAATAAATTAGTTAAGTCTTCTTTTCCTTTGTTAAATTTATTAACATTTAAAGATAACTCTTCATATTTAACTCTAAGTGAACCAATTTCTTTATCTAAATATGAAATACGAGTTATCAATTTATCACATTCAGATTTTAGATAAATATTATCATTAGTCAATAATTTATTTTTAGAAAATAAATTATTATTTAGTTCATTCAATTTTTCAACTTGTGAAGAATTTGAAGTCACTAATTCTAAATTTAATCTTTTATTTTCATTTTTAAAAATCTTATAATTAGACTTCAAATCCTTAAATCTAACGCAGAGTTCATTAAATGCTTCTAATAATTCTTCATTATCAAGATTATTGCATACCTCATCTTCTTGCGCCATGAAGCACATGTGAGCGGATTCTTCTTTTTGTTCTTCTTCTTCTTCTCATGTCATTGCCAAAGCCTCTTTCTTCTTATTTTGTAACTTGTTGAAGTTTGTAGACTTTGATTTTGACTTTAGAAGAGGACAATCCTTCTTCATGTGTCCCGGCTTATTACATTCATAACAAATAAAATTATTATTAGTATCTTTAATCTTTTTATACTTACTTTGTATAAGAATTTTTTTTTTTGAATTTTCTTGAGAGATAGTCAATATCTTCATCATCTTCATCTGATTCTTCGTTGTCGGTAGATGCATTTAAAACAATGAATTTCTTCTCTGGCTGTTCTCTCTCCCTTCTATCTTGAAGTTTTACTTCATATGCCATTAAATTCCCAATGAGATCTTCTAGGGTGAGTGTTGAGAGATCATTGGCTTCTTCAATTGCGGTCGTCTTTTTCTCTCATTCCGATGTAAGTGCACGAAGAACTTTTCTCACCATCTCCAATTGTGTGTATTCTTTTCCAAGACCAATTAGAGAGTTTATGACGTCGATGAATCTTGTGATCATTTCAGTGATCGTCTCATGTTCTTTCATTTTGAATAACTTAAACCTGTACACAAGAACATAGATTTTAGATTCTTTAACTTTATTTGTACCTTCGTCTGTTTCCTCTAATGTATGCCAAATTTGATGTGCCAATGTAGAAGTTGACACTCGATTGAACTCATTCTTGTCCAAGGCACAAAACAGCTCATTCATGGCTTTTGATTCCAGATTGACATTTGCTCTTTGTACTACCGTCCATTCGGTGTATGGTGTCGTTGGCTTTGTAAATTTAGTCTCTACAATGTTTCATAGGTCGTAGCCAAGAGATTGGAGGTAAGATCATCACCCGACACTTTCAATAGTTGTAGTTTGTACCGTCAAAGAGAGGTGGTCGCTGTGTGAAATGTCCCTATTTGAATTGTGATGTATTTGTTGAACTTGTTGATGCCATCTTTCACCTTGCTCTGATACCAAGTGTAGGATCGTGCGCTTATGATAATTGTAGGGTTGCGCCCTCTTATTAAAGAGTAGAATCTGCGGAAGCATACACTAAACACTAGAGAGCGTTGCTTAGTGTTATTTAAAGAGTTTGCAAGATGTGTTATAAATTGTAAGAAAAATGGTAATAATCTTAGAAAATGAACATCACAAACACAAGCATATATACTAGTTCCATCTCCCTGGTATATATCTAGTCCCCAAGCAAACCCTGCTTGAGATTTTCACTATGATTTTGAAACCTTACAAAATCAAAAGCAAACCTGACCAATTTGTAAGACCATAAAAATTGCAACCCCAATTGACAAGATCATGCTAATTGCACACCGATCTCTAGACCAAGAGATCAACCCTCTCAAAACCAAGAGAAACCTTCCTTGTAGAAGAATACAAATCCAATCATATAAGACTTGATGTGGATGTGAACGTGTAACAGTGGCTTATGAATCTTTTTGACTCTCTGAATATTGCCTAAACAATCTCTAAGAATGATGAAAACAAAGGCAATATTTTGAAACTCTCTTTTTCTGAAACTTAGAACTGAAAAC